GAATACTATGTAGGCATCCTCCATAGTAAGTCATTTACCTATCCTTTTCATGTTCAAGTGCCTGTATCTCCAAAGATTTGTGAAACAGGAATTGCTACTGGGAAAATCTGGCCATAAAGTATACTTATACAGCATTATCCTGCTATTGTGAGCAGCTCTGATGCAACTCTAACGTACAATGATAGCTAATACTTACAATTGGCCCAACTAGGAACTCAAACCATGCTCCCTGCCCTGTTTTTGTTTTGTTGTTTTTTGGGGGTTTTTTTTGAAGATATGAAATAAAGCATGCCATCAGTTGCCAGGCCTAGACATCTCTTTGTGATTCACTTTTTTACGCCACGTAAAAAGGTAAAACTATTCCAACATTAAATTGATGGTTCTGAGTTTCCTGTAACTGGTCTGTAGAATTTCATTTTAGGAGCTAATGAAGAAATCTTGCAAATGCCAAGCAAAGCCTAACGTCAAAGGTTTGGGGCAGGACCACAGTAGGTCAAGGGTGGGGTCTTCTGCTATTGGATGAGTCACAACAAAGCAACTACTGCACCTCAGCTCCCCCATTAGGATTGTCCAGCCCAATGGTTCTTCATTCCTAACATGTCATGGAATAAAACTACACTGCATCCTATCTTTCATATCCCAATTAACCAAAATGTTCTAACACATACTTAACTCCTTCTCTATTAAGCATAGGCTTAAGTCTCATTGACCTCAATGAGAGTTAAGCAAGTGCTTAATGTTTTCTTGAATCAGTGCATAAGAGCCCTAAAGCTAAGTGCAGCACTTTTTACATAACACTCCATAAAAAGTAGATTGTCCTAGGCATGATACTGTTCAAGATAAGATCCTTCAGGGCAAATACAGCTGCATTTTATCAATTTAGTTTCCTTTCTATCAATTTAGATGGAAAAATCTAGGCTTCTTATTTTATTTATTTATTTATTGTCAGAAGAAATGAGCTGGTAAACTTGTGGGAGCAGATGCTCTCTGCTAGATGATAAAAAGATGACATTAAAATGTCTGTTCTCATTTCACTTAGTCTCATAACTAAATGATAACAATGACAACATAAAAAGATATGCAGAAGTCAAATTTATAAATCTGGAGAGCTTTCATGGTAAGACATATACAAACACACACAAAAGTAATACTTTCACCAAACAAAAAATAATGCTATGTAAAAAAAGAATGGTATCCTGTAATTAACAGAATTCACAGAGTTTACCCCGATACATCAAATATGAACGTATAGCGGGTTGAAAAGGAGACATTCTTAGCCTTGGAAAACTGCTTTGTAGAAGGAAAATTATTCACTATGAAAGTTTTAAGAGCTGTTTTGAAATGACAATGTACAAGTTGCCTTAGAAAGGGAGAAGCAGGATTTGTTCCTCCTCCTTATCCAATTTTTTCTCTGCCCTCTCAGAAGAAGTAAGCAGATGGCAAATGCAGACAGTAATTAGGGATGGACAAAATGGATTGAATAAAGGAAGAGTTGACATGCACCTTTCCAGGCAATTAGAGTTTGTTCATGAAACATTTGATATTGATGATGTTGATCTTATTTCTGAATGTTTGAGAATCCCTGTGCCCTTCTTGCTCTTTATCCAAAGCAAAAGTATCATTATGATCATGGCAGAGAATTTCAACTATTTTCATTATTTCTTTTTACACAGAAGGACCTACTAGAAATCCTGTGAAAATCTACGTTCTAGTGACCAACTTCAAAGCAAGAGAAGCTCTGAAAAGCTTGCAAAGTTTATGATTCTTATAACAGTATTGAGTTGCGCCTTCCACTCTACTGATGTTCATCTACCACTGGTGGCAATACTATTAGATTTGAAACTCTAGAACATTTTACTCTGTATTTCCATTTATATCGTGTAATCTCATTGGGTGCATCTACACATGCCATTAAAGCAAACTGTGCTGGAATTTATTATCGCACCTTAATGTCACATGAAGATGCTCAAACTGTGGTGGTCCAGGATGCATGTTTAGACGCTACACACAGCACAGGGATCACAGCAATCTGAGCCAGGGTGGAGCAGCAAGGGGTTGACCTGGGTCTAGGGGAGTCAGTCCCATGCTCTGGGAGGCAGTGGCAGAGGGACTGGCTGGGGCACAGGAGTACTCCAGTTTGTGGAGCCCTGTGGCTAGGAGGCAGGCAGGGGTCTGCCCCCTGCTGCCTGGGGTGACCAGGTGCAATGTACACCCTGGGTCAATGCTTACTTATGTGTTTAGGCAGTTATTTTCACTGCCGTGATATAGCACTGTTCCTGACAGTACTATCTTATGGTGGCAAAAATTGATTTGCTGCAGTCTAATAGCAACACATGTGTAGACTATGATGCTTTACACTACCACTGAAAATTACTTTACTGCGTAGTTAAGCACACATGTAGATGCACCCATTGAAAAGCAATACTATTTTACTTCTCATTGTAATGTAATATGCACTTCTTCAGTATCAGTACTAACTTGCAGCACATACAACATATGAAGGATAAGCCTGCATGCACCTTATTGATGTTATCAGGAACATGACCTTGAGGACTACTATTTTAAGTGGTCATGTGAATTTCTCAACTGAGTCATCATGGCGGAAGGTGACCAGTGGCGTCCCCCAGGGTTCAGTGCTCAGACCAGTGCTCTTCAACATGTTCATCAACAATTTGGATTGAGGTATTATAAGCAATCTGGCAAAGTTCACTGACAACACCAAACTATGGGGGAGCGTGATCATTCTTGAAGACAGCTTGGTAATACAGGCTAACTTGGACAGGTTAGTGAAGTGGGCGGACCTCAGCCTGATGTCATTTAATACAGAGAAATGTAAAGTGCTCTAGCTGGGGAGAAATAACCCACAACACACTTACAGGCTCAGCAGTGCTATGCTTGCCAGCACCACAACTGAACAAGACCTGGGTGTCATGATTGACAACAAAATGAACGTAAGCCACCAATGCAATACCATAGTTGGCAGAGCTAATTAAGCACTGGCATGCATCAACCGAGGCATCTCAAGCATGACTAAGAATGTCATTCTCCCACTCTACTCGGCCTTGGTGAGACTGGAACTGGAGTACTGCATCCAGTTCTGAGCACCACTCTTCAGGAAGGATGTCGACAAGCTCAAGAGAGTCCAAAGGAGGGCCACATGCATGATTACAGGCCTGGAGACCAAGACATATGAGGAAAGGGCAAGGGACTTGGGATTGTTCAGCCTGTTGATGAGAAGACTCAGGGAGGACTTGGTGGCAGCTTAGAAGTATATCAGGAGTGTACATCAGGACCTGGGGGAGCATCTGTTCACCAAGCCCCCTCCGCGTGGTAGACAAGAAATAATAGGCAGAAGCTGAGTGAGGATCGCTTCAGGCTAGACATAGGAAAAACTTCTTTACAAGGTGAGTGCCAAGGGTTTGGAACAGAGGTGATACAGTCATCCACCCTGGCGATCTTCAAAAAACATCTTGATGCCCATTTTGCTGGGGTCATCTGATCCCAGCAGTCTTTCCTGCCCAAGTGCAGGTGGGCTGGATTTGATGATCTGTAAGGTCCTTTCTAGCCCCTAACAACTATGAAACTATGAAACCAACATCATAGGCAAAAGCTTAATTCCAATTCTGACAAGTAATAGAAGGCAAAGTGGGCACAACTTTTTTTTCAGATACATTCACTGGGCTGACATTTTAAAATGTGGCTTTAAGATGTTAAGTGCTCTGTTGTTTCCAATAGACCATTCAGTGTTTTCAATTACATCTAATGTATATAACATATGGACCGTAAAGACATTATTTTAAAATACTAAAAACTCTTTCATACATATTACTATTGCGGTTTTCTACTTACTGTTCTATACCTTTGGTGCAGTGTGTTAGAAATATCCCAGGGATACTATGTAGACAGCACAAAGGTGATTGAAATTGCCTAGTTTTCACATGCAATATACCCCCAGTGTCTATCTATTTCAGGTATTTATGAAAATGAAAGGCTGAAGTGCATTATAGTTCTAAGAAGAATAATTAATAAGGTAGTAGTGTAGATGGAGTAAAAAGACAGGCAAATATTTGATCTTCCTTTGAGTGAAGACGTGGAAGCTCATTTTAATGTGTGAAACGTTCCACAGATTCTTAGGAGACCTGGCCTGACAGACAAGGAATACAAAGCCATGTACCAACAGAGGAGTTCTTTTTCTTTGCTTAGTGTCTCCTTTATAAAAGAACTTTTCTTTTCAAATTAAATTAGAACATGAATTCTAATCATCAAGTTTTGTTAGCCCAGAAGGATGCCAATTAGGTTTCTAAACATCTGTATAGACAAAGGGGGTAACAAAGAAATGATGGCTTAGAAAGTAAAAACAAAGAGGGGAAAAATTATAGGGAAGCAGAGAAGAAAATCACGTCTAGAAATGTGCGTACACACAAACACACACAGTTAATATATGTTTACGTGTGCATGGGTTAAACAGTGTTTATGAATGTATGTTCATACACTGTGTATCTGTGTAAGTCTCCCTGAATGTTTTTCATGTATTTGACTTACCATGACAAAACTGAAATATAATTTGAAAGAAAAAAGTTTTGTCTTCCTAAAAACTATATAATCAGAGCTATACATAAACATATAATATGTAAAGATGTTATTCTTGTTTCCATTATTTTGCTTCCTTTTACTGGTGATAATACTCTGTACGATCAGCAAGCTACTAAGTTATGATAAGCATGAAAATAAATGCCAAGAATTTTGCAACTGAGGAATAAACTTTAATACTGTAATTTGAATCCCAGATCCCAGGAAAACCTAAGGAAATTTAGACACGTGAATTTGCGTTGAATTGTAAATCATGTCATAAATATATATTTACAACCACAACAAATCTGCTTGTTCACATGCATATTGACAGTTGCATATTGGTTAGCTACCAATAATATTCCGTGGATTGAGGAAAAATATAAGGCATTATGACAAAAGACAAAAGAAGATGAAAATATATTTCTTACCCTCTATGGTTGCTCTCTTAGGTAGAATGGTGATTGCTCCCTCTGCAATGTCTTCTTGCTGAACCAATGGACTCATTTTGGAGCCCCAAGTATCTGATCCCACCCAGAGAAAATGACCAACTTGATCAGCCCTTTTAGCCGCTGCAAGGATTTGTCTGTGGATAGGAACATTTTAATTCACATTAGAATGCAAATGAAAGAGAACTGGATTTAATTGCCCAGGAATAACAACAAACAGAGCAAGATTGCTGAATGAGCAGAAATAATGTATTCCTGTAACTAAAACTGAGCTTAGGAATTTAACTGTCTATATAATGATGATGCATTAAGACGAAACTGCCTCTCCTTTTTTCTTAGGTTTGTATTCTTGGAGTGAAATCCTGGCTTCATTGAAGTCCATGGGAATTTTTACATTGATTTTACTAGAGGCAGGTTCATCCCAACTTTTATTGTTGCTGTTGTTAAATCTGAACGTTATTCTGCATACTTAAATCATTTAGCAAAAGTCAGCAGCACTAGAGCTCGCTGGTAATTTAGATATTACTTCACAGAGGACTTCAAAAACAACAAATGCATTTCTCATGAAGGGTAAATGGAAACTGCCTTGCTTTTAAATTATATTCATATCATCCTGAAAAGCAAATGAAATCTGGTCTGTAAAGTTACTATTGAACAGCCAAGTCATTGCAACACTAATCACAGCAATTAGTCTAGCAAACACATGATTAATTAATTACTAATACTTAGCCTGAGCAGTATTTCTATGATTGTTATCACTGTAACATATATATCCATCCAAGGATCTCCCAGTGTTTTGCATGCTGTAATTAAATCTCATAATATCTCAGGGCACTTATGAAAGAACAAGGCTGTGGCGTTCCAAAGGGGTCTGCCACTGGCTGTTTCTGGACAGTAGCACCAGTAGCAGGATGTCAAAATTGTCAATGGGAACATACTGGCAGTTCCCAAGTCTTGGCAAAGCAGTTAGTATCCTGAGAAATATGGGTAGTTTTTGCCTCAGTCTTATAGCATCCTAGACACTTGCAAGAATCAGTCACTTTTCTCCATAATGTTTAGCAGACAGAGTCCTCTGAGCAAAAGTCTACTTCTGCACAAATGAATGAACAAGCAGCAATACTGTACATTATTTTGCTTACAACAACAGCATTATGAGGTTATGATATTAAACATGAGAAACACACGGGGTAAAAGTTAGACTCAACCCATTCTCCTTTCCATGTCAATACGCTGAATTTTGTGATGTTTATTGGACAGAATGGCACCGGTTAGCTTAATCTTTAAGATCCTGCACCTTTTCTGAAGCTGAATTTGAAACTCTAATCACATCTCACATCATAAAGTTTTCTTTCAGAAGAGCAGAAATGCGTACAAGGAAATGCTTTTACCCAATACAGGTTTAGTGAAACATACCATACATTTTTTTCTGATATTTCTGAGGAAAAGGTATCATCCTTGATTGTATAGGGTCTTTCAAACAAATCACTCTGTTTCATTGCACTGTACATTCTTACTTGCTCTGCCTGCTGCATAAAGCCATCAAGCACAAATTAATTAATTCCCTCAGTCATCCTTACTTTATGTCCTCATCATTGGCAAAAATAACGATGGCCCTGGCGTTGGGAGTTTCTAGGAGCTGCTTGATAATTTTATCAAAGTCGATGTTCTTGTCTTTGCGATCCTGTGGGATTTTCAGTGACTGAGCAATGCAGAGCCCACCTGTTAAAAACAAGAAGAAGAAAAAAAAAGCAAAAATTTGTAAATGAAGAACAAGGAAAGAGAGATATAAGTACAGGGGGGATGAGAGGGAGGGAATTACTACTTGATTCTGATCTTTTGATAAAACCGTTAAGCTTCATGGTAAGCCTTGAAAGCTCTTTAAGGGGAGGGAATGGCATTTGTGTGTTTATTTTTAATCTAGTAAGTGTTTGCTACTTGATAGGATGCATACAATACTCAGGGCTGAGTAAAGCCACAAATGGACAGAACAGACCAGGGAAGTAGAAAGGTGATGAAACTGTACAAGCTCAAACAGGTTTAAATAAAGAAGAGACTGAAAAGCAAGCAATGTTGACCAAGAGACAGACAAGTAAAATACACAGCAACTTTATTTGGCATAGCACCTTGGAACTGAATAAATAGCAGGAAAATACAGAGAAACTGCTCTCGCTGGATAAGCTGAAACAGGAATGATAGAGAAATTAAGCTATTATCAATAAAGAGTGTGATTATGCACATCTTTCCTTTGCAAATATCCACCCTTGAACTAATCAAGCAAGGGCTTGGAACAAAGCAAGCATTTACAGCATTAAACCGTTAATTAATATCCAGAATTCTTAAGAAGATAAAATGATTGCAACCAACATAATGGTAGCAACATAGAAAGCACTCATTGGCAAGGTCCTTGATATGAACATATTGAATATAACTATGTTAGTTTTATTACTCTTGTTTTAGAAACATAAAATTATTCTACATCTTCATTCCTTCCCTGCCACAGGGGAATGGGCTCTTCTTTTTTTCACTTCTCAAGCATAAAACTCTTTCATCATTTATAGCATTTTTAACATACACTTTTACCCTCAAAGTACTTTACATTGATAGTTAATACATTTTCAAAGATGCATAATAAGAAACTGCAATGGGGATGAGTAATTAAAAGATGGAGGCATAGGAGAGAAAAAGATGTTTACTGGTAATGTTTAAAAATAAATGGAGAGTTAATGAGAAAAATGGCAAACCTGCTGTAGTGGAAATGCAGAGGAAAACATTCGCACACTGGCAAGTGCAAGATACCTGCCCATATTTAGGGTCTCACTTCTGCAAAAGAATAAAACCCACAAGCTTACAATATAAGCAAAATAAGCAAACAAAAAAGGAGAAAGCAAGTGCCAAAAAGGAAAACCATTGCAGAGCCAAGCATATCTGTGAGCACAAAATGCATGGACATAAAAATACATAACTTTTATAAGATATTTTTCATCAATATATCTCTCAGCACTTTAACATGGAGGTCAGTATCATTACTCTACTGTTACATACTAGATATGTCTATGTGTGTATTTATTCATGCCTAAACTTAATGCGCCTTTGTTTAAGGCACATTAAGGTGATTTAGGCACGTCTACACATGGATGTGCTAATGCACATTAAAATGCATTAAATTTAGGCACGGATAGCTAAGTCACTTTAGCGCACATGCAGATGCGCTAATGCACATTAGTACAGTGTGTGTCCATTAATGCACACCGTGGTAATATGCATTAGCACATCTACACATGTGCTAATGCAACTTAGCTATTCACACCTAAATTTGATACCTGCTTTATGCTTTATATGGGTAGCAAATTTAAGCTCTCGTAGCTTTAAATTGCCACTTTTAAGGCGCATTAAGGGCACACACGTGTAGACACAGGCCCTTAACGTGCCTTAAAAATGGTGACTTTAGGCTAAGGTCACTTAAAAGAGGCATGCAGACATGCCCACTGAGAACCTGAGGCAAAAACCAATAGGCTAACTTGCCCACCAGTGGGACGCAAGTCAAGCCAAGAATAGGCCCAGGACTCTTGGGCAGATAACAGAATTTTTCAGCTAAACTGAAAATATGAGGGGAAAAATTACTTTGGGTGAATCAAAACAGAAACTTATCTGATTTTTCTTTCCCCTCCACCCCCTTTTAATAAATAAGGGGAAACATCATTCCTGTCAATCTGGAACTTTCTTTTGAAACTTTTTGTTTTGTTTGGGGTTATTCAATCCATTATAACCTACTTTCCTGTTTTAGCTCAAGTCATTTTTTAATGAAATTACTCTTTAGAAAAAGAAAACACACAAAAAAACCCCAACTCTTCAAACATTTCATTGTCAAAGAGGTTTCCCAATGTTTGACCATGTTTGAAATTGGCTGAAATGTTACTGTTCACCCAAAAATATTTGCCAAATTTGACTTGAAGTTATACAGGTTTGTTTCCTCCTAAAGTTCTTGGTTTTTCTTCTTCTTTTTTTTTTTTGGATGGGGGGGAGGGAGGGAGGATTTACTGTTGTCAAAAATATTCCACAGAATCAGAGAAAAAAAGAGGGCTGGAAAGCGGCCTCAGGAAATGATCCAATTGAGCCTCCTTCTCAGAGCAGAATTATCCCCGTCAAAACCACCCAGACAAATGTCTCCCTAACCGCTCATCCATCTAGCTTTGTTCTTAAGTCCCAGTCCAATGCTCTATAAACATGCTCACACTGTCTCTAAAGGCAAAGACACCAATAGCTGGGCACTGAATTGAAATGGACAGGGAAATCAATTAATATATCTCCACTTGCCACAGAGTGCCTTTTGTTTGATGATCAACCTTTTTCTCCCTGTGTCTCAGAATGAAAAACTGTTCTGCCTTGGCCTGCCTAAGGAGAATGTGAAGGCATTAGCTGTTCTTTAAGGTATGAGTGCCCTCTCTAGCATTTCATCAAGCCAAGCTAAGCTACTCTGAATCGCCCATGAGAGACTCTAGTTTCTCTTGGAAGTTTGGCGACTCAGGAGAATTTGTTGGGAAAGATTAAAAAAAAAAGTAGTAAAGAAAGAGAGTGGCTTGTTGCGAAGTGCCAGATTTGTCACTTGAATATATATTCACTCCTGCTACTCTGATGCAGCAGTGAATGGGACTAGGCATATTTTACAGTGTCAAAACTACCATGCCTTAACATGCTGGGTAGAACCAGTCTTTAGATATATTTGAAGTTAATGATGAGGTGTTTTGTAATCCAGCATAACTCTCCTTAACTTTCATTCAGATAGAAGTGAACACCTTGCAAGATTGGAAAGATGGAGAAGGAAAACTAGAAAAGCCAGAAAATGGTGGATGACAGCACTAAGTATATTTTAATGTGCTGTACCAACAAGAAAGTGTAATATCTTTGTAGGCTGGGGAAAAAGAATAACCTTTTGAGAAAATGCAGTGAGGAAAAGTAGATATGGTGACTTGTCTCTTAACCATGTCAATTTATCTCCAGGTTGATACAAAGACAGAATAGACAGAAGGAAATGAAAACAAGGGGCTTTTTTTTATAACCTATAAAGTGCTATAACCTATGGCATTTCTCTTGTTAAGGCTCCAGCTGCAATAAAGACTGTTGCTGATGTACTGTTATGGCAAAATGGGTAATGAAATCAATGTTTTAGGTTGAACAACTGGATTATATCACAATGTAAATAACTGGCAAAAAGGGTTAAATATTCAGGACTCTAAATACTTCAATAGTCCCATCCCAGATGGACATTGTGCATTGTGTGGATCATGCAACCTCTTTTGTCTGAAGACTCGGAGAATCCAGCTGCTGTGGATATTAGTGTTTACAGATCTGTGTGTCTGAGAGATTCCTTTGTGTGGCAAAGCAGCTGGACAGAAGATAACCTATATCTGGGCTTATTAAACCAAAGTCTAATCAAGCCTTGGTCTGTAAGAGGAACAATAGGCTCTTTGCAACTGTGATGCATGGGCTCTAATTAAAGGTCTTCCCAGGTAACATCACAAGACTTTAAAATGGCACAGGGTATTGAAAGCAGGAGAGAGGAAGTAAATACGTTAGGGCAGGGGTTTTCAACCTTTTACAATCAGTGTACCCCCAGCAACCGGACACAGAGCAGTGTGTGTCCCCAGCAGCTGAATGCGGGGGGCAGGGGAAGTGGGGGAAGCAACACATGGCTGAATGCAGAGTGGGGGAATGGTGCATGGCCAAATGTGGAGCGGCGGCATTGGCCGTATGCAACCTTCTCCTGTGTTGGGCTGGGCAGGCAGCACGGGATGGGTTGTGGTGCATCCCCGCTCCCATGTACCTTCCATGTATGCTTTCTCAAGTACCCTTGGGGTTACACATAACCCCAGTTGACAACCCTCAAGTTAGAGCTTGAAAAACGGGTTTAATTTCCTGTTCTGCTACAGACTTTATTATGTGACTGTGAACAGGTAAGTTAGCCTTGTTGTGCTTCACGTGCTCATGTGTAAAATGGGTAGAAAATGGCACTTCCTTACAGCCTTAGAAATCATTAGAAAGGATAAATGCATGATATATTGTGAAGTGGTCAGAAACGATAGTGGTGAGGGCAGTCTGAAGGAGGGAGATGCTTCTCCAGGCCCAGGGCTCAGACTAGTATTTTGGCTAATGCTTTAGAAATTTGACTAGCTGGTGTAAAATTTAATGCCATTTTTGCCACCTCTGCTCCAGGTCAATGGGACTCATGTACATTTTGTGAAACTAAATAGAAAAGAAGCATATTACTAATATCATTGTAGCACCTAGCAGTTGCAGTCTGGGAAAAGGAAACCATTGTGCAAACACAGAACACAAAGATGAAGCCTGCCCCAAACAGCCTGCAATTAACATATGAGACAGGGCAGGAAACAGATGCATATAACGGTGAGGAAAAAGAAACAATGTTGGCCTGTACAATAGGCGGTAGTCTCAGTGTGCCACTGGGTTATTTGCTTCATTATTGCAGGGATCACAGCTAAGGAAAGGTTTATGAAGGAGTCTGAAGGACAACAGTGGAGACTGTGAGTTTTATGGAGCGCTCCTCCCAAGCTTTTGAGTCAGAACAGGAGAAAGCAGATGTTTAGTTAGAAATGTATTCAGAGAGCAAGATTGGCTGTCATTATGGACTTGCTGGATGTAGGAGCTGACCTCCAAACAGCAACCGAGAGATGATAGCTAGGGAAGGGATAGGGTATGAAGAG